GAGAGAGAGACTTGATCTGCTGAGAAGATGAACCCCAGGATCTTCGGAGAGACCAATGAAGGGCAGAATTCCCCTCGGCATCATCATCAGCGTCATTTACATCTATATTCCTCTTCAAAAGCAGCTCAATAACTGCTTCATCTTCCGCCTATGGAAACGGCAAAAAGACAAATGTTAGCAATTAAAACAGGTAATTTCAAGCCTCAGCCTACTAAATCCTTATTTATTTGAACCGAAAAACTAAGGACAAATCTCATGTTTAAATTTATAAACCCTCTTTAAATAGACAAATAATGAATTAAAATTAGCCACAGATAAAGTATCAAAAATTTAGTTAAATTAATACTCATTAATTAAAATTTTTAATTTAAAATTAAAATTAAAGATTTAAATATACGTATTGTTAAATAATTAACTTTTTGATACAAAACAAAATTTACAAATACTAAATCTCCATAACATTTGACGGCATGAATCACAATTACTTTACATTTTTTTTTTTTTTGATGGTATAATTACTTTACTTACCACTTCTTATAGTACTCCCATGTCTTAATAAATCTGTTTCTTCCCTCTAACACCCAAAAGATGATCTGTTTCTTTCATCTTAGAAAGAAGATCCCCAAAATCAGGTACAAAGTACACGGAAACACTGAGCAAAACAGCAAGATTAAATGAGCCCAAACGGGCCCATGATGTGGGCCCTTGAATTTACCAAAGTACCCACTGCATATAAAGTATGAACCAAATATTTAGAATATCAGGCCTGACAGCTACCTTTTTTGATGGAGGCATAAAACTCCAATGTGGTACAATGCCAGTGTCAGTACTAATAAAATCAAAGATTCTTGAAAATGATAACTTCACATTTTATTAATCCTAAAACTTCTGAAAAAAAGAGTCGAGTTTTGGGATCTAAATAGTTTGTCTTTAAATTTTTAAGTATTTAGATTAAATTAATTGGAGTTTCGACCACTAATACTTTGAAAATCTCCATTTTTCTTCCTCAAATTTGTAAAATTATTAAAAAAAAATAACTTTTGAGAAAAAAATCTTATAATTAGTGATAATCTTTTTCTAAACAAAGTTAAATTATTCCACTTACCTAAAGAATCATCACATGCTCAAAGAAAAGTGCTAATATCAGTAAATGCTGCTTAGGCAAAAATAAACAAACATATAAAGAATTTCTTAAAAAAATGCAATCAATCATCAAAGCGAGTAAACACTAAACAGTATCATCAACCCAAGAGGACAACGATTCTCTCTCTTAGAGAAGAGAGAGAGGCTCTTACCTTTATAGCAAGGATCAATGGGGACGTCGGCTTCTTTTCCGAAGAACTGGTTTGAGCCACAGCGTCAAAAAGATGAAGCAACTCGATCTCACGAAGTAGGAGCTTGCGCTTCTCGGCTGCCTCGGTCTTTGTCGGCGTACAGGTTCGTTTGGCGGCTCTTCCGGGAGACAAGTCGCGGCCAAGGGACAACGTTTTTCCAATTACGCACTCATATATGGTGGCCTTCTCCTTTGAACCTGAATCAGCGTCGTGCAAAACTATGGTTGACTGGTTAACTTTATCTGCTGCTACTATCAGCAAAACAGCTAAAGCCGCTATTTTGCCTCCAATGGCTACAGCATATGCAACCTGGTCTATTTCTTTTGTCTTCTCACTGAGAAGTTTCACCGTAGTCAAATCCTATACCAAAAAAGGGTCAAAAGTTTCATTAACAAAAATAAAATTAAAAAAACCAATATTAAGTCGGATTTAATTGTTGGTAATTTGATTTTTTTTTATAAAGTTAGACCAATTAAATTAATTACTAAATCCAAAATCGTGTTAAATTACACAAGCTAAGATAACCTTTTCACTAAGTAAAACCACCAAGTCTTCAACAGAGTAGTCATCAGGATTCCAGATCACATCTAACCTGAAAATCAGGAGATAAGACCAGAAGAATTAACAAAAAGTTGCTAATTATTAGTATGACGAAAAGTTGAAAATTTTAAAAAATAAGGAAGATGGAAAAAGCAACATTTCCATGTAAGGCCAATGTTCTGGGACCTAACTAGGGTTTTGTAGCATAAAAAGTGAGGCTTTTACCTTTTAGAAACAAACGGAAAAGGACGTGGTTTTATTTTTACCTGCTACTGGACAGAGACAGCATCAGAGCGAGCAGTGCGCGTCCGTCCTTGCTCCTCAGGTCTGTACGAGCGCGTCTCTTTAGCAACAGCTCCACGCAACGCGCGGAGTGTGCCTCCGCTGCAGTGTGCAACGCTGTCATCCCCGCCGCCGGGTCCACCTCGTTAACCACCGGTACAACTCCGAGCTCGCCATTAACCAGCGCCGTGGCACAGTCAATCGCGTCAAACAGGCAACACAAGAGAAGCAGCTTCAACGCTAGGCTCCGATCCGTTGTGGAGTCTCCTTTGAAGACCTTATTTGATTGAACCACAAATCGAGCTTTGTCGTCTTGTATGATTGATTTGAAGAGGCCGGTTTCCAAATCGGTGATGTTGAGCGCTTTTACAATCAAGTTGTAAATATTATTATCGTCATTTGCGGAGGTTTCTGGACTCGAATAACCAAAACAGGCACATTTTGAGGGAGAGCCGAAAGGCTCTACGAAATCAAACCTCCGTTTTGCCTGTTATCATCAGTTAACTGTTTCGGTTATGCTGATAAATGTGAAGATTATGTAGCCAAACACTCTTCGCAAAACAAAGGAAAAACAAACAAACGCTACCTAAAAATGTATATACATGAATTTTTCAAAGGAGTTTCAAAAATCAAATAAAACAGAGCCAATACTTCAAGAACCTCCGTTCTTTTCCGATCTTGAAGAGAAATCACGCTACTCGTTTCCAAACGACAAAAACACAACCTTTAATCGGGAAAATCGACGAATAGAGAGAGAAAACACAGAATATCCAGAGAAAATTCAGAAATTGAGCCAGAAAAACCGTAAATATTTGCTTGATCAAGAAATCGCAAACGCTCTGGCCAAAAGAAAAATGAATACGCAAATTCACTTTAAAAATCATGTATTTTTGGGTAAAATCAGAGAAAGTAACGCACCAGATCCATCTACGAAGACCGATTTCTGCTTCAAATCAGCTCCACTGTCGCTTTCAACTGCAATGTAATCGCACTAAATTGTAGCCGGCCGTGCAAAAATCCACAGAAACCTGTAAAACTCCAGCTCTTGAACCAAAATTTTCAGTGAAAAGGCCCTGTTGCCATTAGAGAGACGACAGCTACTGGCTTCTCGCTCACTGATGGAACAGAGGAGAAAATGGAGAGGGAAAATCAGAAATGAGTTTAGAAATTGGAGGAAGAACAACAGTGGCGTAGTATTTATAGAGCCGGAATTGTGACGGTAAATTAATCGGATTAAAAGTCTAATAACCCGGATCCTGGTTTTTTAAGTATCATATTGACTAAAACACCATACTCCGAGTGAAATAATTGGACAAGGGTAGGGATAATTTGGGAATTGAAGAGTACCGTGATGAATTCTCGCAAAGTTGTTGTCATCCACAGAGGAAAGTAGAAAATGAACCACTATGGTGATGACACGTGTATGAAAACGTTACATCAATAATGACCAAAAACTCCTCAAAAGATGTTTTGCGAAAATAAGAAAAAGAAAACAAAAAAAATGAAGAAGTCATTAGGACTGCGTTTGGATCAAGCAATGCAAATTGTTTTCATTTTTGGACATTACCAATAATGCCACTTTCGAACTCACCTCCATGATTCCATGCCGTTTTGTGTGAAATCTCAAAATGTGTGAATGTGATTTTTTATTTCTTATTGTTAAAACTTTGCTTGACAAAAAATTGGTTAGAAACTTATATTTCATAACTATTGTATTTTGAATGAAGTTGTCAAAATTAAGATTTTGGGTAGGTAAAATAAGAATCATAAAATTAAATTGATAAAATTATGAGTTTATTAAATTAATTTAAAATTTAATATCAAATATTTAAATTTAAATTTATCTAAAAATTTTAATTACTAATTAATTGCTTCAAATCTTTACTAAAACATATTTTTTTTATTTTATAATCATTAGGCTATTTCAAATTTTAATAATCTTGATCTAAAAAGATATTTTATAATAAAATTATTAATTTAATTTGTAAAAAAATTAATAAAAACTTAATTTTTACTTGATGATAAAAAAAAAGGGGTCAAATTGCAAGGCAAAAATTCGAACCATTACAAAACAAGCTATATTTTGACAGCAGTCACCACTCCACTAATGCTTATCCGATTTTGTGTAATTTTATTGGATTTTATAAGTTCATTACAATTTTATGAATTTACATCTTAAGTTTATAAAATTTTAATTGTAACTCAAATTTAACACAAATTTAATACTTAAAATCATAAAATTATATTATTTTACTAATAAAATTATAATTTTGACAATCATAAATTTTCAATTTTGAAGTATATACTCCCTTCCCTAGAGCTGTGTGATACTAATATACTGTGGTTGTAAAAATTAATTTATTTTTCACCAAAAAAGGAAAAAGAAAAAAAGAAAAAAAAAAGGAAGAAAAGTTAGAGCCTTGAGTTGTCATATCGCCATTCAAAATAACTTTTCTTACTCAAAATTATATTAGCTTCCACGTAAGATAACTTTATACTCATGATAGATCTTATATTCAAGCTTTCAATTGATTTCGATCTTACCGGACAAAATCATGTGGTGTCTGCATATATAATTGACCAAATTATATATTAGGGATTAGAATCTCAAAAATAGCCGCTTGGCTTATTCGTAGATATTTTTTCTCTTCTTCATGGGTTTGCATCTTTTGCATAGTCGTCCTACGTACTATTCGAGAAGACAATGCAGCTACATATTTTATGGCTTCTCTTAAGTTACAATTTACCCCCTGGAGCTCTTATTTTTTATCACCCATCTCTTAATAATGGTACTGCAATTCTCCCGATGGATACTTCAGGGGTTTCATTCTCCCAGCTGTAGAGCAATATGTCACGGAGCACGAGTTTGGAGGCTTGAGTTGGAGGTGTTGATGCCAGGATCATGGCACGGAGTCGTGGTCAGGACACCCTTACATGCATAGGATGTGCGTGGAGTGTTCTAGAGGCATGCCACGCAAGTGGGTGAGGTGCCAACACCAAAGTTTTACAAAGGATTTTAAGTATCAACACTTAAGGGCGATCCGCAGCCATCCAGCATTCTCTGGAAGCCCCGAGGCTGCGGAAATGAAGACCAGACACTGGTCTTAGTGGGCTTGTTGGGCCAAACCTGTATGTAGAACTTCCTCGTGGGCCTTAGACATAATTGTAGAGTAGTTAGTTCTAGAATAATGTAAGATAAGTTATGGGGAAGACTTGGGGAGTCTTTTGAGAGTGTTTTAGAGCCCTCACCTGTAGAAGAGGTTAGGACAGACCTCATCTATAAATATGAGACCCATTTGCTCTAAATAAAAGAGGGTTAAAGAGAGGAGCTACTAGTTGAGAGTGACTGCATAAAGGGGCTATGTACTTCATACTATTGTAACACTTCTTTCCAATCTAATAAACTCTTCTTCTCTTAAACTCTTACCTTCGTCTTTTATGTGTTGCAACGCTCTTAATTCAGTGGGTGGGCTATGTCTAGCATTGGGAAAGATTGACTTGGTTTAGATCAGGGGTTAATTTTGAGCTAAGTGCCACAAGTGATTTGCTGAAGTTTTGTCCCATGACAAATAACTCATATTTTCTAGTAAGAGTTTAATTGAATTAATATTTGTTAACATAAAAATTTTAATTTAGAGTTAAATTTAAATTTTTATATTATTAAATAGTTAACTCTTCAATATATTAAAATTTTTAAAAAAAATCAAATTGTGTAATATGAGAGCTTATTTTACTTTAAAAAAAAAAGAGAGAGGGGTTTCAGGGCTGTATATTTTATTTTAAAAAAAAAAAGTTAAGGGACTAACTTCTGGTTGTTCCAAAATCCAAAGAAATCTTATTGTGGGCATTGAGCATAATATGGTACTGGGACAAGTAGATATTGGATTGGATCAAGATAAAGAATGTTTTGGAAAGGCCCTGAGTTTATTGGGCCGTTGGACAGGGTAAGAACCGCCACTGGATTCAGGCAAAAGCTCGAAAACCCCTAATACGGAACCCTAGGGATTCCGCTTATAAACTCGATAAGAAGCCAGAAAGGGCTGAGAGGGTAGGGGTGCAGCTATTTTTGGATTTTCTGGCTTTCTTGTGCGATTAGAAAATGGCGACTTCAAGGGCTGTGAAGGACGTCTCGCCTCACGAGTTCGTGAAGGCTTACGCCGCTCATCTCAAACGATCTGGGAAGGTACTTTTTTTATTGCTTCAGTTCTGTTTGGATTCTGGGAGAATGGGGGAGCATAAGGGTTAGCAGAAGCAAGTCTGCTTCTTTTGTTTTCTGCTCTTGGATGCTCTTGGAAGATAGAAGCTTTGTCTGATTTATGTGCTCTTGATACATTTTGATTAGCTTTTTCTGGTGTCGTTCAACACCATGTTGCCAATAAATCTGACTTGATTAGTTCTTGTTCCTCTGGCGTACTGCATCATGAACATCTCAGGGAAATTGTTGCGCTTCTGTAAATATTTTGCTAGTGAAGACGTCAAATGTTCTGAATTAGGGATTTAGTTTTTGTTGGCTATTGTTTGTTTGTTTTTTTATTAATTGAATTAAGGTCACTGCCCACTACATAGATGTGGCTTTAGTTAACAAATTTTTTTTATTTTAATCCTGAAAGAAGTTCAATTTTGGCGAGGAAGCTGGTGTTTTGTGTGTGTGTGTTGGGGGAGGTAGCAAAAGGTTTACAACTTACAAAGTAGGAGTGTTCTGTGCTATGTTTTCATAACTATTATTAGTATGCAATTATAGAATGTCTATTGCACATGTTGGATTATGGTGCTTTGCTAATATGTGGTCTTCTCTTCCCTTGTCCTTGTAAACAGATTGAGCTCCCACCCTGGACTGATATTGTGAAAACTGCTCGATTCAAGGAACTTGCCCCTTATGACCCTGATTGGTACTATGTGAGAGCTGGTAAGGGGTTATAATTTCTCTCCAGTACTCATCCTATCCAATCAGAAAAACGTAAAAACAGAAAGGCAGTAGATGATCCCTAGCTTTGTCTACCTTCATGGTCTACATTATGTTGGTGGTAGTGCTTATTACTTTTTATTCCTTATATTGAATGCAGCTTCCATGGCAAGGAAGATCTACTTGAGGGGAGGTCTTGGTGTTGGTGCCTTTAGAAGAATTTATGGTGGAAGCAAAAGAAATGGTAGCCGTCCACCCCATTTCTGTAAGAGTAGCGGTGCCATTGCACGCCATATTCTTCAACAATTGGAGCAAATGAATATTATTGCTATGGCTGATGGAAAGGGGTGAGCTCTATTCTATTCCCACTGTTTTTATTTACTTTCGTGTACTGATTTTCACATTCACCCAAGTGGGAGTTTGAATATGGGGCACATAACTGCTTGTAATTTCAAATATACTTTGTTGGCACCAATTATTTGACAGCTGATGGATTGCTCATCTGCTTATAAATCACGCTATTATATGCTTGCAATAGGCTTGTTTGGTGTTCTGTCTTGTTTGAGTGTGCTTCTTCCATGGTGTAATAATCCCTGTTTATGTTCACTTTTGTTTATCAGGGGAAGAAGAATCACCTCAAGCGGACAAAGGGATCTTGACCAAGTTGCTGGGCGGATTGTTGTTGCTCCTTGATCAGTCTCGATATTTAGCAATACTAGTGAGCTGCTACTTGTGTTTTCTGCTTTGACGTGTGATAAGCTGTAACCTTTCTATTTGGTTAATTAGTAGGACATGAAGGAAATTTTGGTTTCAACTTTCAAGTTCGCCTAAAAACTGTTGGATGTTAGCATGTTGCAAAATCTTGTTATATTGAGACAATTTAAATACATTCAAAAATATCATGGGCGAGATGTGATAATGATACAATAATAGGGTTGGTTTATGGGGGTTTTTCGCGCAGCCCACTAAACGAAACAGAATTTTGGCGCATCCTAGTACGCATTCTCCTGGTGGGAGTGAACATTTTTTCGTACATGACCAGTGAAACTGATAATCACCGGTATTGGACGGCCCCATGGCCTGGCAACATTGCAGATATCCGTCCGATGCCTAACGCGCTACACCAGAAGCGCAGGGTCTTAGCGAGCCTGGGGCCGGCTAACAACTATCACTTTAAACCAATTCACCGGTGGGAAACCCAAAACTAGTAGTGCTCTGCTTCTTCGAGGTAGGAAGTGGTTCGTGAGTAATTTTTACTTATCCATCAACAAAACAACATCGTTGAATTAATTGATTTCTACAAAGCCAAAGGAGTGTTTCACACTGTTACAGCAAATGCTCTAACTTGGATTCAAATCCACAAAGGCATTAGATCCATGTGGATTAAAATACATCCATTCTAACGTCCAAGTGACATGCCTTGTAGAGTATGTTTGCCTTGAGGAGAAAAGAGTGGAGAATTTTTTGACTAATTAAATTGTATTATTTATTATTATTGTAATGTAATTAATTAAATTCCTCAAATCAATCATTCTCTACAAGATTTGTTAAAATCTATAGCCCATTCCTGTTTCAAATGTTGGGTAATATTAATATCTCATTAAAAGCAATAAATCACAGCATTTTTTTTTAATATATATAAAGTGCAACAATTCCTTTGCTGTACGCCTGTTCCCCTTCCTTCCACCCTCCATCCCGGTCCTTTTTTATTTTCTTTCATTTTCTTTTCATGCTCCTATTTTGCTTGAGAATTCTATTGACTAAAATAACACTATTCTGACTGTAATGGTTGCGGAAGAAGCGTAATTTGAGGACGGAAAAGAACAAAAACTCGCAAATGAATCACCGTCCATTTTTCGGGCAAAAAAATTTTTTTTTCCCTCCCATTTAAAAAAAGAAAGAAAAAGAAAAAGAATTCCCGCCAAGTCGGCTCAAGTTATTCGGTCTTCCACAGCGGTATGTATTATAGGGACCGAGGGGTGCATATAAAATATCTCTCGCAGTGATCAACGTATTCACTAATTATTTTCATACTTTTAATTAAAATTCAAAATATTCAAATTAAAAAAATATATATTCAAAAGATTTTTCTTCCAAAACATTACCCAGATTTTTTTGACTTTCACAAACTTAACATGTATTTAAATTTCTACAGAATTTTAGGTGAAATAGAATAAATTATATAATAATATATTATCTTTGAAGTTTACAATATTAAGTAATAGTGTTGTAATTACATAATTTTTGATTATATAAAAAAAATTTATCCTTATTTGAGAAAAGAAAAAATCAAAATATCTTGATATTAAAAATATTAGAACGTTCAATCACAACTAATTAAATGCGTAAAATATAATATGAATTATAATTTTATCAAATTTATGATATGAATATTATTAAATATCTTAATATTTTTAATGATTAAATGTTCTAATTTTTCCTTTTCCCTTATTAAGACTATGAAAATAAACTA